CCCAGCCTCAGCCCTAACTTTACCCCCAACTCCATGTCCCAGGCACAGGCCCTTAATCCTACTTGGTGTTTTCCCTATTGATTTCACTGCCTGGGGTTACTGCAATAGTCTATTGAGCTCGATTTAGATCTCTGGTTTTAACAACCTGGCCAAACTCAGCCAACCTTATTAACCTGTTTGCATTCATCACCTTATTTTATCCTCATGGTATTATGAACTTGACATTATTCATTTGGCCTTATTAACCTCCTTGCCCTATTTGCCCAGTCTTCATGACTTTGCCTAAAAATCCTGGCCTTACCGGACTGGCCATAACGTCCTGCCATTGTCCACGTGTTCTTACTCACCTGGTTGTAAGTGGCTGGCCTCAATCCCAAGGCCGAGGACTAGCCCCAGCCCCAGCCCCAGCTTTATCCCCAAATCCATGTCCCAGCCCCAGCCCCAGCCCAAGGATTACCTTCAACTCCATGTCCCAGGCCCCACGCCAGGCCCAGCCCTAGCTTTACCACCAACCCCATGTCACAGGTACAGGCCTAGACACAGGCCCAACCCCAGCCACAGCCCCAGCTCTACCCCCAACTCCATGTTCCAGCCTCAGGCCCAGGCCCAGCCCTAGCTTCACCCCCAACATTATGGCCCAGGCCCAGGCCCAGGTTTTTCCCCACATCCATGTCCCAGTCCCAGCCCCAGCCCTATCTTTAACCCCAACTCCATGTCCCAGGGCCAGGCCCAGGCCCAGGCCCTTCATTCTACTGGGTGTTTTCCCTATTGATTTCACAGTCTGAGGTTACTGCAACAGTCCTTCATTGAGCTGGATTTAGATAGCTGGTTTTAACAACCTGGCCAAACTCAGCCAACCTTATTAACCTCTTTGCATTCGTCACCTTATTTTATCCTCATGGTATGATTAACTTGACATTATCCATTTGACCTTATTAACGTCCTTGCCCTATTTGCCCAGTCTTCATGTCTTTGCCTAAAAATCCTTGTCCTTACTGAACTGGCCATAACTTCCTGCCATTGTCCATGTGTTCTTACTCACCTGGTTGTAATTCGCTGGCCACAATCTGCAGGCCCAGCCCAATCCCCAGCTTTAACCTAAAATCCACATCCCAGTCCCAGCCCCAGCCCTGTGTTTACCCCCTCCTCCATGTCCCAGGCCCAGGCCAACCCCTAGCCACAGCCCCAGCTTTATCCCCGACTCCATATCTCAGCCCCATCTGCAGGCCCTGGTATAGGCCCAGCCCCAGCCTAGGTTAACCCCCAACTCTATGTCCCAGGCCCAGGCCCTTAATTCTCCTGGGTGGTTTCACTGTTGATTTCACAGCCTTGGATTACTGAAATAGTCCTTTGTTGAGCTTGATTTAGATCCCTGGTTTTAACAACCTGGCCAAACTCAGCCAACCTTATTAACCTGTTTGCATTCATCACCTTATTTTTTCCTCATGGTATGATGAACTTGACATTATCCATGTGGCCTTATTAACCTCCTTGCCCTACTCGCCCAGTCTTCATGACTTTGCCTAAAAATCCTGGCCTTACCGGACTGGCCATAACTTCCTACCATTATCCATGTGTTCTTACTCACCTGGTTGTAAGTCACTGGCCTCAATCTCCAGGCCCAGGCCCAGCCACAGGCCCAGCTTTACCCCAAATTCCATGTCCCAGCCCCAGCCTCAGCCCTAGGTTTACCCCACCTCCATGTCCTAGGCCCAACCCCAGCTTTACCCCCAACTACATGTCCCAGGCCCAGCTCCACCACTAGATTTAACCCAAACTCCATGTCACAGGCCAAGGCCCTGGCTCAGCCCCAGCCCTAGCTTTACCCCAAACTCCATGTCCCAGGCCCTGCCCCAGCTGAGCTTTACCACCAACTCCATGGCCCAGGTCCAGGCCCAGCTCCAGCCCAGCTTTACTTCTAACTCCATGTCCGAGTCCCAGGACTAGGCCCAACCACAGCCCTAGTTTTATCCGCAACTCCATGTACCAGTTTTAGGCCCGGGCCCATGCCCAGCCCTAGCTTTACCCCCAACTCCATGTCCCAGGCCCAGGTCCAGGCCCAGCCCTAGCTTTACCCCCAACTCCACGGCCCTGGCCCAGGCCTAGGCCCAGCCCCAGCTTTACCCCCAACTCCATGTCCCAGACCCAGCCCAGTTCCAGCCCCAGTCCCAGCCCCTGCTGCAGCCCCAGCCCTAGCTTTGCCCCCAACTCCATATCTAGCCCCAGTCCCATCCCCATTACCCAATGATGTCTTCAGTAATCATTTGGCTGACTTGGAGAATTGCCCTTAATCCAACTGGCTATTTCCCTCATTGATTTCTTGGCCTGGGAATAGTCTTCTATTGTGCTGGAATTTAACACCTGGTTTTAACAACCTGACTGCACTCTGCAGAACTTCCTAAGCTCATTGGCTTTATTGTTTTATCTTATCTTATCCTCATGGCATTATGAACCTGGCTTTATCTGTCTTTATTAATATCCTGGCCATACTCACCAAGTCTTAATTTCCTGGCCTAGAAGTCCTTCCCTTACCCACCTGACCATTACTTCCCACTCGCCATTGTCCACCTGTTCTTACCCATGTGGCTTTAACTGGCTGGCCTCAGTCTCTGATCAAGACCCACCCCAGCTGATCTTGCCCATGAGGCCTTATTCAGCTGCCTAACTTATTGTCTTGTTTTATCCAGCACATTTTATGTCCCTGGCCAGACCCTATTAGCCTTCCCCACCTAGCCTAACCTTATGGGTCTTAACCTCATGCCCCTAACAACTTGGATTAGCCACCTAGTTTTCCCACCTAGTCTTACCAACCATACGTGACCATGTGGGCTCCACACTTGGTTAACCCAACTGTCCATAGTCTTTTGGTTTTATCTATCAGGACTTAAACCACTGGATTTACTTCCCTAGGTTTTTTCCCCTGGTCTTGTGCCCCTGCTTTTATTCCCTAGTTTTACCCCCAACTGCGTACCCCCATCCCAGACACCTTGAATTACCTACCTGGTCTTAAACTCGTGGCCTTACCAACACGGATGACCAACATAGCTTACAATCTAGCATCCCCATCTTGGCTTCAGCTTTAGATTTTACTCATATGGCCTTAACCTCCTGGCCTAATTTGCCTAGCTTACTCTTAATATTGACCAGGTGGAGCTAGCTAGCTCTGTACTGGGAGGCCTTAACTTACTGACTTTAGCCACCCAGACTTTCAATTGCTTGGTTTCCTGGCCAGTCTTAACTTCACGGATTTCCTTAGATTTACCCACCTGCCTTATGAAACTCCTCGCCTTACTCATCCAGTATGAATCTACTGGCCTTATGCATCTAGCAAACTCACCTGCCCTTACCCTACTGGTGTTAATGTCCTGTCCTTACCAACCTGAATCACCCCACTCATCTTACCTCTCAGCCTTACACAGTTGGCCTTAACAATTAATCTCAATGCTCTAGTCTCCCTTCCTCAACCGTGCCAGCCCTCTTGGACTTAACGTAGTGCCATATCCTGTGTCCCAATCCCTGGTTTTCCTTTCCTGGCCTTCACTTGCTGGCATTCACATGACCTTGTTTACCTAGCCACACCCACTGGGCCTTCTCCTGCCTCAGCCTCCTGAATAGCTGAGGTCATGACTGAGGCCTGAGATTACAGTCATGTGCCATCATGCCTGGCTAATTTTGTATTTTTCTTAGTGACAGGGTTTCTCCATGTTGGTCAGGCTGGTCTCAAACTCCCAATCTCAGGTAATCCGCCTGCCTTGGCATCCCAAACTGCTGGGATTACAGGTGGGAGCCACCATGCCCTGCCTAAACACCTGGTTTTAACAGCCTGGCTGTGTTCAGCAGAACTTCCCAAGCTCATTGGCTTCATCACATCACCTTGTCCTCATGGTATTCCTAAACTGGCATTATCTATCTGGCTTTATTAACCCCCTGGTCATACTCACTGAGTCTTAATTTTATGGCCTAATTGTTCTACACTTACCTTCCTGGCCATAACTTATTGCTCACCATTATCCACTTGTTCTTACCCACCTGGCTTCAATTTGCTGGCCTCAATTGCTGTTCAAGACCCACATGATCTTTCCCATGAGGCTTTACTCCACTGCCATTACTCCAGGTCCTTGCCCATCTTATTTTTTGGCCTGGCCATGCCCCATTAGCCTTACCCACCTGGCCTAACCCTATGGATCTTAATCCCATGACCCTAAAAACCTGGATTAGCCACTTAGTGTTCCCACTTAGTCTCACCAACCATACGTGACACACGTGGCCTCCACAGTTGGTTTACACAAGTGTCCATAAACCTCTGGTTTTTATCTACCAGGTTTAAACCTCTGGATTTACCTCCCTAGGCTTACTTCTCTGGACTTATCCCCCTGCCCTTATTCCCCAGATTTACCACTGCTTCCCCACCCTACCCCCAGACTTAGACAACTCCCAGCAGCCACCTGGACTTACCCACCTTCCCTTAACCTTATGGTCTTACTTGCTAAGTTGACCAATATAGCTTAGCAAGCTGGCATTCCCACCTGTCCTTAAGCTTTTGTTTTAACTCACATGGCCTTACCCATCATGCCTTAGCCACCAGCCTTCATGCCTGGCCATATCATCCTTGTCTTACCTACCTGGGTTCAACTCCCTGCCCATAACTACATTGCTGTAATGTCTTGTGCTGCCGCCCTGGACATCTCCCATAGCCCTTAATCCACAGTGCTTACCATTCTTGGTGTAGATCTCTGGCATTCCCCATCTTTACCCACCCAGCAGACTTACTTTCCTGGATTTAACTAATTGTAACTAACTGGCTTTACTCACCTGCCCATACCTTAGCCTTGGCTCCTTTGCCTTCTCTTCCTACCATTACCCCACCTGGCCCACCTCTAGACCTTTACAGTCTTGGCTTGGATGCCCAGCATTAGTCTCATGGCTTGTGCCCTTTGCCTTTACGCACCTGACCTTAACTTCTTTTCCTTACTCACCAGGTGTGAATTGCCTAGTGTTACTCAGCTGGTCTTAACCTCATGGCCTTACCCACTTTGTCTACCAATCTGGCTATATCTCTTTATCCTTGTCCCCTTTCTCTACACCCCTGACCTTACTCCCTTGGGCTAAGCCACCTGGTCGTAACTAACCTTGCGTTACTCACCTGGTCACAATCTTCTGGCTTTACCCAGTTGGCATTAATTTTCTACCCTTATCCCTGTGGGCTCCCAGGCACAGCAGAGCCTGCATTTCTGTGACTCGGTTGAGGCCAGCATGATGGAGACTTCCCAGCAGCCTCCTGGACCTGGTCTCTCCAAGGTCAGATCTTGAAAATTCTGAGTGTTCATGCAAGTGCCCTGTGTATGTGCCTGGGCTGGTGTGCTGGCTCGCCCTTGGTCTGTGTAGGCAGTGACCACATGGTCAACATGAAGCCACCTTAACCTGCTTCTCATCAGGTCTCATGGGGCAGGGGACAGTACCTGCCACACTGAGAGGCTCAGAAAAGGGCAGTTTAACTGGTTTCACCCTTGTGGAGTCCTCATGGAGGTCTTTCTAGCCCAAAATGCTTCCCTCATGTTCTATAGGAATGTGGAGTTTTTAATAAGTCCAGAAAACTGCCCAGTGGCCTTGTCAGTCTTTGAGTCTTGGTCAACTGATTTGTTGTGAGTCCCCCTTACCCTTGGTGACCCCTAACATTTATCTCAGCCAGCATTTTGTTGAACAACCTCAGTTTGTTCTCTGGAAGAGTGTATTTGAGCTGTTTTTACTTTTATACTTTATTATGATGTCAGTAAACCCATTCCTGTCTCCCATCCCACTGCCTGAGCTAAGGGCCCTTCTGCAGTTGGCTTGACTTGGAGTGTTCAAGTGCACTGCACTCGAGTGTGCTCCTGGCTTAAAGCTGCCACCAGGTATTCCTGAAGCCTGCGCCTCTGAGGCTTCCTTTTGGGTTGTGGATCTGTGGAAGAGCCTTGCTGCTGGGACTTGGCCTTTCCCTCAAATGGGGAGAGAATGGAAGGTCTCGACTGGCTTCCTGGAGAAACAGGATGATGTTGACAGTTCTGGTAAGATTTCTTCTTGAGATGTTGACCTTGACGTGTATATTCAGTGTGATAACTAAATGTACCTCCTGGTTGTTGCTGGAGTCCTCTGCCTGACAGTGACCTTTTTGTCTTTATATGAGGTTATGTTGCAGAGTCATCTAACGAAAAGATAATTTTAATAAAAATGTTTGCTGTATAATTCTTGTAGATGTTGTATTTACTATTGTTATTTTCTGCAGGTTCATCTAATGGAAGGCAATAGACAAGTCTCTGTTTTTTCAGATAAGGTCTTTCTCTGTCACCCAGGCTGGAGTATAGTGGCACAATCTTGGTTACCTGCACCCTTGCTCAGCTGCGCTCAAGATCCTCCCACCTCAGCCTCCTCAGTAGCTGAGATTATAGGTATGTGCCACCCTGCCTGTCTAATTTTTTGTATTTTTGGTAGAGATGGAATTTCACCATGTTACCCAGGCTGGTCTTGAACTCCTGAGTTGAAGCCATCCATCTGCCTCCCAAAGTGATAGGATTACAGGCATGAGCCACTGTGCCACACCAAGAAGTAACTGTTTATTGACCAAAATCTTAGTCCTGGAAAGGGTAAATAAGCCTGTTTTGGAACTGTCTATTGATACATGCATTAAGTTTGATGTATTTATGAATTTGATGATGTTGTAGCCTCTTTTTCACTATGGAAACTTCCACTGGAGGAGTTTTTTTGCTCTGGGAACCCTCAAGGGTGATGTTGGGGCCTCATAACATTTAGGAGACACCTGCAGATCACACCAGTGGCTGTCTTTATTCTTCTTATTACCCCTCAATGATAATAAATAGCTCACCAATGCTGTGGACTTTTCCAGGAGGATCATGTGTGGCCAGTGACAGGAATGCCATTTAAAATGAAAGAAGGATCCACAGTCATGCCTTAGTTAACAGCTTATTCTAAGTGGATATCTTCTGTGTTAATGAGGTTTACATAATAGATCTTGAGGAGTTGATGTTTTTTCTTTTCTCGTTAAAGTCACAGCTTGTCAATGATCCTATAATTTGCGGTATTTTCATTTTAGACCTGAAAGTTCTGCTGCCATGAATATGTTTGTGTGTGTCTGTGCTTTTGCTTGCTTCATCAGGTCAACTACTCGTAGAACTGCTGGATGTAAAGGACACACATGTTGGAAGCACTGACGTGCAGCACCTCGCGCATTGTTATCAAGCTGTGAGGATTTTCTTAGGAAAAGTGTAGTGCGCTCTGTCATGATATTGGGGGGTAGAAGATGAGCCTGTGGACAAGGCTACTTTTCCTAAGAAGAATTGGCTTGCAGAAGGCCAGGTGAAGTCATTGTGACTTCTCTGAGCCATCTCATCCAACTCACATGTGTCAGGCAGACTAGGAGTCCAATGACCTTGAAGAGTTACGGTTTTACCTTCTGTTTAAGCATTATGATTTCCGATTTTTGTAACTGTGCACATAATATAGTTTAATATGAACAGCTGCTCCTCCTGTGTGGTTTCTCAATGCTTACTATGACTTTGGGAAGGTTATAAAGTTATGACCAGGTCCCCCACCTGGTCATCTGCCATGTCTGTGCCCCTGGTCATCCATTCTTTTCTGCTCAGCACTTGTGTGGAAACCAAAGTTTGGTATGTACCTCCAGCCACCGCTGTCCACGTGAAATCAGGTGCACATGCTTCCTTGGGCCCTTTCCCATGTCCTGGTCAGATGTCTTCCCTCAGGCAGAGAAGAGAGGCTTTGAGGACTTGACTTCATGACCTGACCAAGGTCATGGCCTTCCAGGAGCTTGCAGTCCCTTGCAGAGGTCAGGAGCTCCAGGCCCAGTGGAGTGCAGTCCACTGCACAGCTTTCTCTGGCCACTTTGTCCCCTGCTAGACTTTAATCTCAATGCTGTGGGCAGCCCTTACAGATTGCTTGAGAGAAATTCTGTTTCAGTGTAACTAATTGAACATTTAACATTTTCAGAAACTTCAAATAACATCTTGTATTCCAAGTCATGAAGGTGAAATAGTAATGAAAAAGATCACCACTGTGTTTCCATGGAAATGACAGTCTCAACTGGTGTTGACTTTGAATTCCTCCATTATCTAGATTTACCCAAGTAAGCTTTCTTCTGATTGCATACTGGTTATCTCCCTCGAAATTCTTATTAACAAATCTGTGCTTAAACCTATAGAGAATTCAACTGTGAACCAGAGTTGAAATGGAGGGATTAGGAAATAAAATCCTCTGGCATGAATTTGCATCATGGAAAACCTTCTGTTCCCCACGTCTCATCTCCCTTTTTGCTTATCCAGAGTGTTTCTGCAGCCTCAGCTGTGGGTCATGGCTGTTCTGCTTTCACTTGAATGTTGCGACAGGTCAGTTATGCTCATGAGGTCGGTGGGCAGCCGACCACCTCAGCCCCTGTGGCTCACCTTGTACCCTTTTGCTTCCTGCCAGGCACCACTGCCATTGCCCATGCATTCCATTTCTGACTTCCAGCTCAGACTCAAGGGACATGCCCATGTTGGTTGAACATTTCAAAGTTTATAAAGGTGCACAGTGAAATCTCCACTTGACTCCTGGCTTGAAGTTGCTACCTGGTACTCCCAGAGCCTTCGCCTCTGAGGCTTCCTTGGATCCGTGGAAGAGCCTTGCCCCTCGGAGCTCACATTTCCCTTTGAATGCAGAGAGAACGGAAGGTCTGGACTGGATTTCCTGGAGAAACAGGATGATGTTGACAGTTCTGGCAAGATTTCTTCTTGAGATGTTGACCTTGGCGTGTATATTCAGTGTGATAACTAAATGTACCTTTCAGGTAACATTCTATTGTGAGTACTTTCCTCTGTCATGAAAGCCCTCCCAATTTTTAATAATTGCATGAATTCTGTACGTTGTAACTGCTTCTTAGAAGGGCATGGTGTTTTGGTCACTGGAAGTAACCACAGCTTCAGCATTGCTCCAAAGACATAGGTGTCCTTCTGGTTGTTGCTGGAGTCCTCTGCCTGACAGTGATCTTTTTGTCTTGATGATGTTATTTTGTAGAATCCTTTAACAAGAATAATTTTGGTAAAAAACGTTTGGTTTGTAATTCTTATAGATGTTGTATCTATTATTGTTATTTTCTGAAGGCTCCTGTAATGGAAGGTAATAAAGAAGCGTCTCTCTCTCTCTCTCTCTCTTTTTTTTTTTCAGATGAGGTCCTGCACTGTCACCCAGGCTGGAGTATAGTGGCACAATCGTTGTTCTCTGCAGCCTCACTCACCTGGGCTCAAGCAACCCTCCCATCTCAGCCTCCCAAGTAGCTGGGATTATAGGTATGTGCCACCCTGTTTGGCTAATTTTTTTATATTTTTGGTAGAGATGGAGTTTCACCATGTTGCCCAGGCTGATCTCGATCTCCTGAGTTGAAGCCATCCACCTGCCTCCCAAAGTGATAGGATTACAGGCGTGAGCTACTGTGCCCCACTGAGAAATAAGTCTTTACAGACCGAAATCTTAGTCCCAGAAAGGGTAAGTGATCCTGTTTTGGAACTATGTCTATTAATACATGCATTATGTTTAATGTATTTATGAATTTGTTGATGTTGTAACCTCTTGTTCACTATGGAAACTCCCACTGGAGGAATTTTCTTGCTCTAGGAACCCTCATGGGTGATGATGGGGCCTCATAACATTTAGGAGACACCTGCAGATGCATGCCAGTAGCTGTATTTATTATCCTTTCTTCTATTTTTTAAAAATTTTTCCTCTTTTTTTTTTGAACTTTTTGATCTGCAAACTTATTCTCCTTTCTAAGTTATATATACTATTTGCAAAAGTTCAGAAAATGATGAGAAATGTACAGAAGAAAAGATCCCTTGTTTTCCTTTCCCTGAATGATAATAAATAGCTCACCAATGCTGTGGACTCTTCCAGGAGGATCCTGTGTGGCCAGCAACAGCAATACCATTTAAAATAAGAATCCACCATGGGGCCTTGGTGCACAGCTCATTCAAAGTGGCTATCATTTTTATCAATGAACCTTATCTGTAGCAGATATTAAGGAGCTGATATTTTTCCTTTCCTTGAGGAGTCTGAGGAGGAAGTGAGCTGGAGAGGTTAAAG